AAGAACAAGAGTAGACAAAGGTGAAAACAGCAAACATTAATATGGGAGAAGGTAACAAGGGTTATTTAACCACTAAACAACAAAAAAAGTCTATATTTATCCTACTACTATCCTGCTGTTGGATAAAACTGTGACTCTGGCTTTAAATCATTTCAGTGTTGACACCTACAGTATATCGATGTACATTACAAACAAGGCGAGAGCAGCCTAGTTCTCCTTAAGGAAGCCACCTTTTGAAACATCTCTAACCATGCTAAGTTAGTAATTCACATAATGCATGACTGCAGAATAACAGTCTTGGAATTAAAGTTAAACGGGGTTTAAGCAACGATGCCACAGAAAAAAAACAAAAAACATTTTTGTTTCCCCAGAAGAACCTTTGAGTAAACCATTCTTAAGGGGATAGTAGTTCACCCAAAAATGAAAATAAGCCCATGATTTACTCACCCTGAAGCCATCCTAGATGCCTTACTTCCAAAGTCAAACAGCCATTCACTTACATTATCAACCTTGGAAGAGCCAAGACATTTTTAAATATAACTTAGATTGTATTCGTCTGAAAGAAGAATGTACACCTAGGATGGCTTCAGGGTGAGTAAATCATGGGCTATTTTTTCATTTTTGGGTGAACTATCTCTTTAAAAGAAAAATGTTTTCTTAGTGTGAAGAAAAAACAACCCCTTTCCACTATAAATAACCTTTTGGGGATTGGAATGGTTCCATGTATGTTAAAGGTTCTTCTTGGAACCATAGATGCCAATAAAGAGCCTTTATTTTTAAGAGTGTAAACATAATGCTTATATAACTGGCTATCTAATAGATTTAAAATCACTTGTTATCTTGCATTATGGCTTTTTTCTTAGTATATAATCAGCACACAAGCATTATACAGTATATAACCTACATTTAAATCAGATAAAGTTGAACTCATGGTATTTCAATGCTGATCTGATTTGAGAGAACTGAAGTTCACTCTCAGCAGATCTCCCAACAATCATGTTTGTAATTGAGTCTTCTTATGCTTATGAAGAGGGAGCTAAATGTATTAGTTAGCATTCAAGTGAGAAATGCTTCTATTAGCTATAGAACACTGTGTGTGGGCAGAACAGGAGCCTGGCAGAGAGAATTGTAATCAACAGCCGTTACCCTCCGCTGAATTTCACCGTGGCAAAATGAATGAATAATGCATGGAAGGATATACAGTATACACAAAACTAATGACTGCCAATATCTCCAAAAGTGTTGGTTTTCTAGGGCTAATCAATGTAAATAATTATTTAACAAATATAATATAATTATTTCAGAGATAATTATTCATAACCACTTACAGTAGTGTTCAAAGATTAATGTTTTAGTGCAAACATTTTCTTGCACTCATAGTTGTGGTTACAGGACATCCATTCTGGTGTTTGCATAGCCAAAATTGTTTCAATATTTCAATGCTACCAAAGCTAAAAACGGATCAGGAAAAACTCATATGGACCATTATTTTGGTTCTTTATTGTGCCTTTTTGGACTTTGGCAGGATAAAAATAGTTCAGACATTCTGCCTAACATCTCATTTTGGAGTTTTAGTGAACTATTTTTTATTATTTATTTATTTTATTTTTTTAATGAGAAGGTCCCTTTATTCCTAAAAGGGGAGGAGGTTACCTAACACCTGTTATGTAGTCCAGTTACATAAAACCAGGTTACACTTTATTTCATTGATCCCCTTTAGACAGTCTACTAACTATCGTTGTAACTACATTGTAACTTCAGTTAAATCTCATTAGAGTATTAGTAGACTGTTAGGTTAGTGGAAAAGTTGAAGTACTTGCAAAGTCACTGTTGAGGGACCATCAACATAAAGTGTTTGCAGATATGAAGCAGACAGTCTACTAATACTCTCATGACTGGTAGTTGTAGTTGCAAAGTTACTTAAAGGTCGTGTTGTTAAGATGTGTTTTGGTCGATCGGATCACAAGTGGACGACGCTAAATTCTGGTGTATCCTGGGTCTAAAACGTTTTGAGCTTGTCCACTTTCGTCCACTTCCAGAGGTAGTTGAAAACACATAAGACTGGGTTGCTTTCATAGTGTTTGAAGTGTCAAAGGTCATAAAGCAGTGGCATCCGAGACGGAGAGGAGTAGTACAGTTTGTGACTGTGACTGGAATTGTGTGCGGCTGCTGACAGAGCTTAAGCAAAGAAAGTCCAATTTACACATGGAAACCGAAATCAATACTACTCGGTAAAAGAAGCTTTTTAAGACTCAATAGCTCTCAGGCTTGTTATGTGTGCTACATGTATCCTCTATTCTCTGTGGAACTGTTTTCAATATGCCTAAGACAATATGTCTATCCACAACAACATTTGCATTTAAAGAGGCAAAGTTGTATGAGTCAATGAATGAATCACCATTCAGACCCCTCAGGGCCGGTCAGAGGCATAAGTGAACTAAGCAGCTGCTTGGAGCCCCTTGGCCACCAGGGGGCCCCCCAATCGAGTCGAAAATGTTTTTTTTTTTTTAGATGGCTTAAACAAGTGACATAAATGAATTAATTAATATAAATGAATGAATATTTAAAGACAAGAACATTATGATTTCATGATCAATATACCCCCCTACAACTGCATCTGCCAGCGTTTAAGTCATGCGCATAATCTAGACCTCGCGCATGCACGTCACGGACTCACGGTAATCAGCCATGTCACAAAAAAGGACGTATCCCTCTGGTGCCGAAAATAGAACGAAGAAAATTGTTGGAAAATGACAGAGAGGAGAACAAAAAAGCAAGATCAAAATAGGCTATTCATGATTACTTACGGGATGTTTTGTGCAGCAATTCCATTCAACGTTCCCATCTACGGCAAGCCCAGAGGGGAAAAAGACATACATACACAAATATATAGCTACAACGAGTGCCAGTTGATCAATACTAGTATTATAGTAACAGACTTTGTTGGATTCTGTCACGTACAATCTAACAGTCTGTAAAAAGATTTTGTGGAGTTGCACTGTATTGAGACAGTTGAGAAATAATACTATTTTTACAGATTTCGACAATAATTGTCATTGTTGAACCCTTGCTCTTATTGTTTTTGATATCTCAGTTGTCATTATTTTAGCAAATCATTTATTTTATATGTTTTGAGACAGTTTGTTTTAAGAAGTTTCAAAGCTAGCAAAAGGGGTAAAGTAAATGTTTAAGAAATATATATTTTTTATTAAATATTTTCTATTTTTTTATTTTGTATTTATACATAAGCTCACTGTATTAATTTGAAATGTATCATTATTGCATGATATTTGTGTCAATAATCATCAAGCACAGGTCCATGTAGTGGGAGGGGCCCCCAAATCAAATTCTACTTAGGGCCCCCAAAAGGCTCGGGCCGGCTCTGAAACCCCTGATTGCCTGAATCTCACATATACAAAAATAATCTAGACAGTAGGTGCTTTTCTTCACAAGGGGGCGCCATTATTTATGAAACATTAAAGCTAGCCAGTTTCGGTCTATAGCCCAATCAAAAGGATGCCTTCTTAGGTAGTAATACACAAATTAACTTCACTGTTGGAGGTTAGTTATGGCTGCATTCGTGTGAAATTCAGGTCAAACGATGCTATATAGCACATAGCGCACAGCAGAGTTTGTACTAAAAGCACAGGAACCGGGACCACTTGTCCATAGCAAAGTCAAACAAACAAGTCAGTAGACAGCAAACAGTGGGCCATGACAACAAGACATCAGCAGTATTATGTTTACTTTATCAATACATGGTGTTGAGTGGAAAGAAAGAACAATCTAGGACAGAAAACATGGAATTTGGTCAGCGTTTTCATATTTGTGTGAATGAGTTTTCAGACCCCTCAAAAATCCTTTCCTAAAATTTAAAATAGTTCATGGTTAAAGACCTATTTATTCTGAGTGAGAAACAATGTGGTATTATTAAAGGGATAATGTATGTATGCATGATCAGTAATGTTTGAGGTCAGTTTTAAATGTTTTTAAAAGTATCTCATGTTCACCAAGACTGCAGTTATTAAAATATAGAATAAAAAATACAGAAATATAATATACAGGCAGTTATATTGTGAAATTGTATTAACGTTATTAACGTTTTTATGTTAATGTAAGTTTTATCTATTTGTATGATGGCAAAGCTGATTTTTTTTTCTCCAGTCTTCACTGTCACATTTTAATATGCTGATTTTGAGCCCCAGAAACATTTCTCATTATTTTCACTGTTGAAAACAGTTGTTCTGCTTAATATTTGAATAATATTTGTGTGAATATTAATATTTGTGTGAGAGTGTGATGCCTTTTCTCAGGAAAGTTCAAAAGAACAGTAGTATTTTCAGTAACATTTTAGTTTATCAATGTAAAACACTGTTGCTGAATAAAATAAAACTTTTGAACAGTAGTATAAGCTGATTTTGAAATCCCTAATACTGTATGTATCAGTTTCTTTTCTCTCTCTCTTTCTCTCAAATGTTATGGGACCCTAGCTCTAAATCTTATGGCGACTAATGCTGCATTTAATAATTTAAATGTTACTTTACAAATAGGACCGTCAGGACCAGAATAGTATAGCCTATATCAGGACCTTCAAAGGGTCAACTTTGACCATCCTGGGCCCTGTGGCAACTTGCAAGGGTGACCTAGAAAAACCTGTCGATGCTGAATTGCTGGGGAGCACCTATATAATTTAACACAGGCCCTTTGTATTCATGCATATATGTTAATTTTCAGTATATTTGTGCATTTGTTCAGCCTGTATGATGTGCAGAAGGCCGAAAAGAAGAGATCCATAAAATAGATCAAGAGCTATTAAAATTTGGGACACAAAAGAGCAATTCGTTTTGCAGCATGATCTGTGGTTCAGGAGGCATCCTGCTACAGGCGAACCGTGATATTGTGCTGTTCCTGGTCAAAGGGCTGGCCTACAGCGAGAGGCAGAGATAGAGCTGGTTAACGTTTAACCACGCCAGCTTGTAAAACAGCCCCAGGACGGTGAACCTTTGGAGTTTGATATGATGTGATTACAGAATCACCCCAGTGACACGTTGCCAAATTCAGCAGAATGAGGGTCTGAGTCTTCCGGGTGGTGATCTCTGAAATTGCTCAGGTAAGTTGCATCTTTAATATTAAATTGTGAGACAGTCTTGTCAGGTAGTGGCATTAGAAAACACTGTGCTCGTCCACATGGCTCTGTTAATGCTTTTTATTGTGCAATGCAATTGATCATTTTGCATTTAAACCATCCAGTGTGATTGCAAGGACACTGTCATAGCAAAATACTATAATACATAATGGGTCACTAATGAATTATACACTTTCGTTTGACTATTTATGTAAATATCACAGTTTATTTATAGGTAAGATCTAAGGTTCAACAGCGCAAACTCTATCGTGAAAGGCTTCATCTGTGTTTATAATACAGAAATGAGCCACTCATCACCTTTAACCTGTCTTCAACTGTGACGTTGTAACATATGTACATGCAAATGTGAATTTTATAGTTTTAGGAGGTGAGCTGACATAAACCCTGCTCACTGTTACTGGAATGCTTCAGCATGTGGTACTTCACCATCATATGTTTGCATTAAACCATTGCCATGCTAATTACCACCTCACAGATGGTTTTAAACAGTAGCAAACAGTGTGGTTGTGGTGGGAGATACAGTGCATATCATTCTTGATTTATGATCTCAAACGCTAAAATACAGAGACATTCTGCAAATGTAACATGCAATTGAAGTGCACTTACAAATATTATATTCCCTGCACACGTGTTGCAGTTTCTGTACAGCACAGCGGCCTTCAGAACAAGTGTATTTAGCCTCAGTCAACATGGGCTGAAAAGCAGCCAGAGATCCAGGCATGATAAGCGCACGTCTAGTTATCTTGTTTATGCAAACGGTAACCAGGTTGTCCAGGAGAGAGCAGGGGATGAACCGCAGACTAATGGAGCCCTTTCCCAACTGTCAAAGTGCTCTCTTTAATGGATTCGTAATGCTCAGCCATCTCTCTTTTATCCCTAATGTTTGAGCTTCAAGAAAAGCGCAAATTTGGATTTTTGGTCCCATGCACCACATGGATTGAATAAAAGGCAACATTCACTAACTGTAAAAGTGTGCGGTAATAGCATCTCAACTACCAGTGTCATCTGTTACAAGTCTTTTCAGTTTGGATAAACTCTCTGTGCTTTGCACAAGCTATTGAATTTGTAGAGGCAAACACATTAGTGCTGTCATTGATGGTAGGATGCATTGCATTGTAGTATTTATGAAAAGAAGAAATAGACAAAATTTCAAGAGAGCACACAGGGGCCCAATCCTTGATGTCCTAGGCAAGATATGACTTGTAAACAGTTTATTTTAACAACTAAGTGCTTCTTTTTATATGTGTAGGCCTAAATGTATTAGAGTACTAGTATCATTTTTGTTAGTATACAGTAGAGGCAAAAAAAGGTGATGTCTGGGGATTTTTTTTTTTTTTTAATGACTCTATAAGTTCAACGAAACTTGCATTTTTCTTTTTTTCTTCAGAGCTGGACTTTATTTGCGAAAAAAAAAAAAAAAGGCCGAATTGTGAGACATGACCACGCAATATAAATTGCGATAAATTGCGAAAAAAGTCGAAATTGTGAAATATAGAGTTGTAATTATCTATTGTTTTATTGCATGGTGAAAACAAGGTTCCATTTTCTTAGGCCTGACATCACTTTTGGCCACTAATGTCATGTATCTGTTTATGAATATAAAACCATGTATAATTAATAGCTAACTAACAGCTTTCATGTGTCTTGTTTGAGCCACTAACAGAGATCATGGTGTCGTCATTACTGTCATGATTACATCCAGATGCAGTCTTGTCACATTTGACCCCAATTCTATACTCACCATGTTTTGTTTTCTTCAGCATCTCTCTTTGATCAAGTAAAGCTGAAAAAGACAAAGACAAATAGACACTCCACTGATGATTTTAAAGACTTGTGGCTGTGTGAGTCAATCACGCTCGATAGCACCCTTCTCTCTGAAGAAAGAATAATCACAAAGGAGATCTTGTTATAGATAAATGGGGACTTGTGCATTCATTTTGCTTAAGTCTGCTTGCACTATTTTTCTCCTCAGAGCTTAGAAATCTTGAGTCTCCATCGGGGGTCTAAACAAATCTCAACGATGTTTTAAATTGTTCTCAGATTAGCCGTCTGCAATCAAAAGTGATAGATTTAAATGTGAACTTATCATTAAATTAAATAATCAGAGCTACTATTTAGATTTATACTCTTATAATTTGATTTCTCCTAATGAAGGAAAAACATTTATGATAGTTTGAAAAAGAAGATATTTATTTGTCTTCTAAAAGAGTATACACAGAAATAGATATTTTGAAAAAGGTCTGTTTTTTGTCCATACATTGATGTCAATGGGCTCCAATGTTGTTTCGGACCCCATTGATTTTCATAGTATGGACAAAATTTGTTATAGACATATTTATGTTCCAGAGAAGAAAGAAAGTCATACAGGCTTGAAATGACATGATGATGAGCGGATGATGATAGAATCTTAATTTAAGATTATCTCTTAAAAGTCTTCTGAGCACTGAGCTATTTATATAGTCAGAGCAATCTTCTGATGTAATAATAGAATTATGCTTTAAGTTCCGATTGAGGGAAGACTTTTTCATCAGATGAAACAAGGTGTGAAATGAGGGCAGGGCACAGATGTCCTCCTCTTAAAACACATATGTGACTCAATAATCGTCTACTGTTTTGATTTGCTCTCTTCAGTTAATAATTACACCAAGGTCCTTGACCTGGAGGTGAGGAAAATGTTCCTTTCCCCACTTTTCTTGCCAACAATGTCCAGCAGATGAAAATCCAACCAACAGTATAACCAAAGCTCTCTTCATACTGATCAAACCAACTTTCATCAGAAACAATGATTAAATTAAACCTATTTTAAGACCAAAAACTCATTTCCCCTCCACCTGAATTAGATATTTTGTTGCAGAGTTTTACAAGAGAAAAGGGGCTATTTAGTAATGGACCAGCGTTGTTCAAAAGGGCATGGTTAGGACATATGAACAACTTACCTTTGAACCTCTCTACGAGCAACTTTGTCTTGGCTTCTTATCATGTTCAGAATTAAAGCAAGAATATACTATCTTGCCCTATCATTTATGTGTGTTTGAACTTTGATTTAATTTCAGTGAGCACCCCTAATTTTGCTGATTTATTGCTGATAATCACTCACAATGGAAACCAATCAAAAATGTGGGGATGGACTGACTGGCATGCAGAAAGAGGCTGCGCTACGCACTCTGATCCAGCGCACAGGATTTCACATACACCAGGTAGGAGTTACCAAAGCCTCGGGTAGCAGGACAGATGCCATTGTGGAATTATGGGATTGAAACACTTGCTTAAATTGACTCTAACTTGAGAAATCTGAGATAAAAATTCTGTCGCTGGTCCATAATATCCATCTTTTTGACATTTTCACTACTGGAGAATGGAGATATGCGGACAGTATATCTGTCTGGTTTCCTTCAGAATTTTTAGTATGAAGTGTAGTGGCACCATCATGTGGTGGAAATGGAAAAAACTCACTTCTTTCCATCTGTAAAAAAGCAGCACATGTCTGTGGATCAGTTCAAACTTGAGTTCTATAGTATTACCGTACTCATTTATGTGTTTGCTTATTCCTTGTGGTGATCTGTATGCACATTAACTTATATATTATTAGAGTTATCAGATGTTCTCTCCACAGGAAAATGGCCAGAGGAGATATGGTGGTCCACCTCCTGGCTGGGAAGGCCCGCCTCCAGAGAGAGGAAGTGAGATTTTTGTGGGAAAGCTTCCTCGAGACCTCTTTGAGGATGAACTGGTACCACTCTGTGAAAAAGTAAGGTGGTCAACAAAAATAATAGGAAATAAACAATTTAAAATAAATATAAAAAAAAGAATAAAAAATTAATAATGACTTGCCCCAAATAAAAGGAGATTGGAACCCTGTTCCTACCTAAGAATATGACAGAAGGGAAAAAAATATACAATCAAGACTTTACAAATGTATTTACGCAGAGGTGGTGATGTACATTGTAGTGTGGCGTAGCTGTAAAAATGTTAAGCTCACCTGTCTCTGCAGTTCGGCAACATTTACGAAGTACGGATGATGATGGACTTCAATGGCAACAATCGAGGCTATGCATTTGTTACCTTTTCCACAAAACAAGAGGCTAAGAATGCCATGAAACAGCTCAACAATTACGAAATCCGGTGAGTCATTGTTCAAAGTGGACATCTAGTGAATGAAGCATTTTGAACAATTCTCACACATCTTCACATAGGAATGGAAGACTTCTGGGTGTGTGTGCAAGTGTAGACAACTGTCGTCTATTTGTGGGCGGCATTCCAAAGACCAAAAAGAGAGAGGAAATCCTGGCAGAGATGAAGAAGGTGACGGATGGTGTCATGGATGTCATTGTTTATCCAAGCGCTGCTGACAAGACCAAGAACCGAGGATTTGCATTCGTGGAGTATGAAAGCCATAGAGCAGCCGCCATGGCCAGGAGGAAACTGCTGCCAGGTAAAACTCAATACAACTAATAATTGAAGTTATACACGTATACCGCATTTTCCGCACTATAAGGCGCACCGGATTATTAGGCGCACCTTCAATGAATTATGTATTTTAGAACATTTTTCATATATAGGGCGCACCGGATTATAAGGCGCATAAGATACTGCAGTCAAACATTTGACTGGGTTTGCATTATGCATCCACTAGATGTGCTAAATGTCAGGCAATGTCAACAAAACAGTCAAGTCAAACTTTATTAAGCGTTCTGACAACTTGTTCAAACGTTAATGTGCATATTAACAATATCTCCCAGCCTTATTCACACTTCTCCCAAACGTCGAGGGGAACTTTTCCCTAATTCAGTAAACACGTATCGTTGTAAAAGAGCCTGACTTCGTCATACTCATATTCAAGAAAGAATATGAGTCTGAATCTCCTCCATTGGGCTTTGATTATGAGGCGTGTCGTAACCGAACCAGGACAAAAAAAAAAAACCTCTGCACTCAATTGGATAGTCGGTAGACCGGAAGTCAACTCCTTTGCATAGCACAGTTTTCAAATGCAGAACGTAGCCTAACTTTATTTATTTTAGAAGTTAAATAATGAGTGTTACTTCTTTTATTTACTTCTCCATGAGTGCCACCAAAGGAGAAACCACAACGACCACAGGCTTTTCATTACGTCCCATCTTCTTAACGACCGTCAGAGCCAGCTGATAAGTTACACTTTTCCCGAATCATGTAGGAAGGACGCCAAAAATATCTTTCCGATCTACAAATGCCTTGATTGCAGTTCTCTGTTTGTTTATTAAAATGAATGCGCTGTCGATTTTTTTTTACAAAAGACGCGACAGCGGAATCTATACATCTCAATTCTCCAGCTGCAGTCATCTTTGACAAGCGCACTTTGATGACGTGAGGATTACGTTACTGAAGACCACCTGTCAATCATCGTATAAAGCCCACCCTGGCAGTTTGATTGGCCCGATGATTTCTGAACCGATCATAATTACTCCTCAATTGATCGAGTCCAGACCGATCTTCCCGTCCAAAAAATGTTGTGGGCGGAGTTCGGGCTGGCATCCAGGGTAGTTGTAAAATAAAGTCTGACCCCTAAAATCCACTGGATCCATCTATGGCACGGAACGTCAGTGTTGCGGATGCCGGAGCTAATTGCGGCCATTATAGTAAATGCTCTTAAGTCCACTAGCGTGTCTCAGAAGCGTCCCAGAAGCGTCTCTCTGCGCCGCTCCGCAGGGAATAGGTAGCAGGTCTATTTCCGCGTCAAGCAGCACAGAGCACATCGTACCGGGCAGGAAGTCAGACACAGAACGGCATGAGGATCTGGTGGATTTTAAAAATAAAAAACCCGGTGGAGACTAAGAAGTCACCAACGCTCCGCAGCTGAAATGCGTCTGAGACGCTCCCAGTGGACTTTGACGCCGAACTAGGGACGCATCAAAAACGTGGCGCTGATGTTCCGCGCCAATGCCGAATCCAGTGGATTTTCGGGGTGACGCCAGGTTCACAACGGATGCTGAAGCAACGCGGAACGGAGGCCGCTTCCTTTCGGTGCCCATGTTAACCTATGGTGTCGTTCACACCAGATGCAGAGCCTCACCGTGAAGCGCCAGTTTCGGCGTCTGGTCTATTTTTTCCACGGGAAAGTAAGTTACACCAAGAAACACTTGACTATCTGGTCAATTGTCAAAGTATAAGTATAAGTTTTTCAAATTAAAATGCTGCGAGTAACAAATGTAAACACACAAACAAACAGGGAAACAACAAGAGAGAGGAAGGCAGGAGTTGATAAGTGTGTGTCTCGACAACGGATTAATAAAAGAAGTGTACAAACTTCTTGGTTACAGAAACATGGTGTATTTATATTATGAGGTTATTTACTTACCCACGATGTAAAAAAATAGCTCTGAATAAACAACAACTGAGCAGAAGCTGTTGTCGACCTCCGCAAAGAATAAGCATCTGGTGTGAACAGGCAGGCGCCAGACCGCACGTGATTTTCCGTTACGCATCGCTTCAGCGTCTGTTGTGAACCCGGCGTGATACTACTAAATTAAACGTTAGTGCATACTCAACATTGTTCAGTTACGTATGACATGAAAAGCTCACTTATTTAAGTTCATTCCCGTCCCCGAATTCCTCGAATTCTACTGTCTCCAACCTGCCCCGCTCCCTCTTGTTATTATCCGAGTCAGTGTTGCTGCTTGTAACGCAAAGTTGAGATGTTGCCAAAATATAAAACATTAACCGTTGTTGCCTAGCAGTTCAGAGATTATTCCTACCTTCATGAAAGCTCGATTGATCCATATATAAGGCGCTCCAGATTATCGTTTTTTTGAGGAAATTTAAGGCTTTTAAGTGCGCCTTATAATGCGGAAAATACAGTACTGTGATAGTTACTATTATAGTATGATTTTATACTGTATCCTGTACGTCATGTCCAAAAATACACTCGTCTTTTCCAAAATGTACAGACGTTTTCCAAAGCAATCATCTGTTTTCAAACTCCAAAGCAAGACACGATTTTATTGATTTTCCTCTGGCTGAACTCATGTTGAGTCCAAAGATACTTAGTTCATTGCCCATAGGAGGTGAGCGAGAGATAAAAGAATAGCCAATGAGACAGATTTCACAATCTCTTTCAGGGAGAATTCAACTGTGGGGTCATCCTATCGCAGTCGATTGGGCTGAACCTGAGGTAGAAGTAGACGAGGACACCATGGCCACAGTGAAGATCCTCTATGTTCGTAATCTGATGTTGCCTACTACAGAGGAGACCATTGAGAAAGAGTTTAACAGCATCAAACCTGGTGAGCTGTTGGAAACAATAAAAAGCCACTCAATATTCTGGCCTCTGGATATGGATAACTAGTTTTGAACAACGATGTTTATGATGCCTACCTTATCAAGGACCAATCAAAACCTGTTTCTGAATCTGAAGGAATTCATTTGTTTTATGTGATTTCATTGAAATATTTAGAGTGTCTGCTAATCTACAGGTGCTGTTGAAAGGGTGAAGAAGATCAGAGATTATGCCTTTGTACATTTCTCTCAAAGAGAGGATGCCATCAATGCCATGGATGCACTGAATGGAAAGGTGAACCTAATTGAAATCGAATCTAGAGGAAAATCGAATCATTACGAAGTATTCTGTATAAAAAACTTGGACTTCCCCCCAGGTCATTGACGGGTCTCCCATTGAGGTCACGCTAGCCAAACCAGTGGATAAGGACAGCTATGTACGGTACACACGAGGCACGGGGGGTCGTGGCGGTGCCCTGCTCCAGGGAGACTACGCATACACCGTGGGCCAAATGTACGACCCCTCAGCTGCCTACCTAGGAGCACCAATATTCTACGCCCCCCCTGCGTACACAACTATCCCTAATCAATTCCGCTTCCCCAGTACCAAAGGGCACATAAGTACCAGGGGTCTGGTACGCTCACCCTCTGTGAGAGGTGGGTAATCTGATTCATTTGTTAAAATCTGTTCCAGATGCAATTTAAGGTGCGACAATCATGTCCAAATATATCTCATTCTGTAACTGTTAATCAAACTTGTGAATGATCTGCTAAAATGCAGTAGTTCTTAATGAATATATATAATTGTTCTGAATGTTAATGACCAAAAAGATCTACTTTATGTCTAAAATCAATCAATCAATCAAATGAATACAAGGCCAAACTACAATTATTGAAGTCAACATGAAAAAAATATTCTGTGAAATGGCATATTAAATGAAAAAACAGGAACCTTATTGATTGGATGAAATCAATTAGAGTATGTTACATACAGGTGGTTGGAGGAAATTCTTTTTATTGTGTTTTAATCAAATAATATGAAACATTCATTTTATTTGGAATAACTGCGCACAATAAGTTCAGGAAGCACATTGAGAACATTTTAATTCCATGGTGACTTTAAAGAGTCCAAAATACTTAGTAATGCAACATGACATGTCTGAGTGATTCCGCGTGCATGTACACGCCGAAACGAAGCAAAATGTAGATCTACATCTGGGGAGCAATATTTTTTTTTTCCTAGGATGGTAGGGGAAGACTCATAATTGGTATAAACCCCAGTGACGGGTAGGTTTAGGGACGGGGTTGGGGTAGGTCATATATTTATATATACATTAATGTAACGTTAAGTCAACGGCGTTCATAAACACGCTGAAAAGTGATTATGCGTGTTGATAGCACTTCAAAAATGGAAATCCAAATTGCCGTGTCATACACACGCCATTTCATGAGATCAGTCTGAGTAATGAAAGATCTTTACATAATGTTTCAGGCAGTTAAAACATGTATTTGCATCTTCTTTGCATTTGACTATAAACAACATATTCTGTTATACTGAAAGTTTGCTTGTCCCGTCTAACATTTGAATGGGTTATCCATGCCTGCATATTACAGTCTAGAGACAATAATATATTGTTCTGAATGGATGTGGTACAGAAATCAAGTCTGCCAAATCTATAAAAGTTATGATCAGACACAAAATGAGAAGCAACTTCTGTAATGTGCTGGCTTGGAATACATCAATATGATTGTCTTGATTGAAACCTGGGTGATTTCTGGTGATTTGATTCGAATCAATGCCTTCTTGCATTCCTAGAAATTTACATGAATGTACCTGTAGGGGCAGCGGGCGTACGTGGTTTGGGTGGGCGAGGATACCTTGCCTATGCAGGCGTGGGTCGTGGCTGCGCCACATACCAACTCAAGACAGACAAACGCCCTGACGAAAAACTCTATGACCTTCTTCCTGGCATGGAGCTCACGCCCATGAACCCAGTCACTCTGAAGCCCCAAGGCATCAAACACGCCCCACAGGTACACTCATAACCTCACTGAAAAGATCACTTGTGGAATATAAAGGAGAGAGAGTTTTCAAGAAACATTTCTCCAAGGAACATTTTGCCTGTTTTGCAGATCTTGGAGGATATTTGCCAAAAGAATAACTGGGGGCAACCTGTTTACCAGCTTCACTCTGCTATTGGACCAGATCAGAGGCAACTGTTCCTTTACAAAGTCACCATCCCTGCTCTGGCTACTCAATATCCAAATATGTACGTCCTAACCTCTTCTTAAACGATACTCACATTAACTGTCTGAACCTAATGTGCTCTCTACCTAGATAGATTTTTGTGCATTGCAGTCATGTGAAGAACATGAAGGATGCTTCAAATTGAAAGTTATGCTACACTCCAAGATACATCATTACATCAGAAACTCACCTTTCATGGATAGTGATGCCAAGTCATGTCTGAGCTTTAAAACTTAAAGGGATGGTTCACTCTGAAATTAATTTTTGATATGTTTTAGCTTACCTCAAGGGCATCCAAGATGTAGGTGTCTTTGTTATCGCAGTAGTTTCAAGTTTGATATTTTTAGGTCAAACCGCTCTTCTCTGTCAGTCATATGATGCAGGTCTATGGTCAACACCTCAAAGAGCATGCACAGAGAAGTCCAAATTAAACATGACTCGTAAATGTAAGTACACATTGATGGCCTAAGACACGAAACGAGCGGTTTGTGTAAGAAAACAAACAGTATTTATACCGTTTTTACCTGTTGTAACCACAGCCACGTCCAAGTGATCTGAGGGCATGGTGATCTAAATATGGTTGTGAAAAAAATTAAATGTTGTCTGTTGATATACCGAAATCATCTTCCATTACGATTTCCTGTATATCTAAATTTGTTTAGATCTTCCCAGTGAAAGATAATACTTCCGAAATCTCGCATACACGCGCAAGAGATCACTTCCGGCTCTTGCGCAGACCGATGTAAATAATGTTCTGCGTACACTAACGCCATGGATAGTTCCTATAGTACTGGTTTAAACCCTACTCTTAAGTAGGAGCTAAATTAGTTCCTCCAAAAGAAGTTCTTCCTAGACCTAAAATCGTTCCTAGTTCCTGCAGTGCGAACGTGCCAAAATCCGAGTACTTTCGGCAATTAGTTCAAGGAACAATGAAAAGGTCGAGTGGGAAAGCCCCTTTGCACACAACACTTCCCAACATACAGAATATTTATACAGTATTTTTCTCAACAGCATATACAATACATTTTTACATTTTAGTATTTTTACCACTGTTGTTCTCTGTGTGTCCAACCAGACACCCGTTCACCCCCGCCAAGCTCTGTGCATCGATGGATGAGGCGAAGCTGCATGCGGCCGAACACACTCTGCAGATTCTTGGTGTTCAGACAGAGGGCGCTGACGCCTCCGCTGCTGCATTCCCAGGTATGTGAGGTCTGTAAGACTGATACTTCTTTTGCTGTGATGCTAATTCTGTTATAATGGAGTATAATAACTCTAAACACTCTTAGAAGAAAAGGTTAAAGGTTATATAGAACCTGAAAAGGTTTCTGTCAGCCACTTAATATTTACGTCCTTTTAGGGGTTCCCAATCCCACCATGGGATGATTTTGTGAATTTAGTTTTAATTTATTCATTTTGTTGCCATTCTTTTTTCATTTTAACGAAACAGCTCATTAACATACTTTATCAATAGAATATAAATAACTCAAACATGAATGTATTATGTATTCATTTAAGACGTCTTCTTGTAGGCTTTAGAATCTTTTTGGCATTAAGTGCTTTAAATTGAGTCAATAATCCTATGAGTTGAGTTCTATATAGTAGGCTAGCCCATCAAAACTTTTTTTTCTAATTGGATAGACATATTTTTTGAAAAAAATAAAAAAAAAAACATTAAAAAAAATATATATATATAAACTTTTTGCTTTTCAAGAGTTATTTTGCCCTGAGTCTTTTCCGTTTGGCTTCACAGGTTATACAATTGCCAGCACCAGTGCTACCCAGCTGAAACAGGCTGTTTCTCTGGGTCAGGACCTGACTGCCTATGCAACCTACGAGGGTTACCCGGCCTTTGCTGTGGCAGCCCGCGGGGATGGATATGGAGTGTTTTGATATCCCTGACTAACAATCTCTGACATTTTATGTTCTATTTGTTCTTTTGTTTTTATTTTAATAGTTTTTTGTTCAGAGTTATAACTTTATTTCTTCCCAAGTGTTTTATGAGCATTTTTGCGATATTGAAGAATACGAGTCAGATTTTGACTTTACTCAGGAAGTGGGCGACCTGAAGGCTGTCCACAACTCAACCCCAAACCTTTAAAGAAAAAATCTTTTTTTTTTATGATTTATTGCTGTTTGTCAAGGCATAAATCTTCTTGATTGAAACATTACTAGTGTCATAATTTGGGATCATCCAGATAGGTGACCCAATCACATTTGAACTGATTGTTACTAGCTTCTAAATGATCTAAATTACAGAAATTTAGGCTGGACCAAGCATCAATGTGATACAAATTCAATGCTGCCTTTAACACCGAATCATTAAAATTGAATATATGTAATATTTTGAAACACTCTGTAAAACCCTATTGCGCTAATGACTTTTATCCAGACATTTACTTTAGTAATCTTTGGTATTAAGTTGTATTTAAAGTTGTAGTTTTTGTGTTGGTTTTCTTTCAGTATTTACATTAACACCCAAGTACAGAGTTTTAACAGATCATGCTTTCATATGCCTTGGTATGTATCTGCATGTTTTAGGATTATTTTCAGAGATGTTTGACAGTTTGTGGCTGGTTCTTTAGTTTTGCTATATTTTATAAGATATTTACACGCTTGCTACTAATATTTCCCTCTTCATTCTTTTTATAAGTGGGGAATATGAGAACACTGTTTAAATACACAGTTTTGTTAAATATAAAACATGCCTTAAAGGTGACAGTATTAAAGTTTGTGTGGCACTTAGAACGTATTTTTATACCTGAATTCCAACTCTGTTTATATGAACTTTGTTTTTCGATCATGGACTGTTTGAAATAATTTATTGTTTCGATGATTGGCATCGGAACTGGTGGGAGAATTGGATGAGCATCGTCAGGGAAAAAAATAAACAGAGCTTCATAGTGCTACAGAGTAAGGTAGTTGTGAAAATAGAATTACAGTAAAGCAACTAATCATCAATAAACCAAATTATCTTCTACAGACACGTCTACTGTTCCAGACTGTTCTTTGTGTTTGTGTGTGTGCTATTTGTGACACGTTTTGATATGTCATGAAACCCTAAAACACATGTATCATGTACATTCAGTAGGCTAGTTTTTATTAAGCTAACGTTAGCATCGCTGGTCTTACCACAATGGTAATAGATGCTGCACTGACATGAATGCTTTAGAGTTTTTATGTAAATTACTCTATTATTCCTACAAACGAGTTTTAGAGAGAAGTAAACACCATAATTAATTCCCTCATCTAGCCAACTCCTGGAGCCTACTCCGTCCATCATAAAATCTATCCACGTTGTGTAATTCCTAACAATTTTACACTCGTGTTTTGTCTTTGTTGGTCTTTCTGTTTTGGCTATTCTCTATTCCATAGCCTATTCTATCATAAACACCAAAGTACACTACGCTATAGTACAGGTGGCGGGCGGCCAATGAACATCAGGATCCTCTCCTACGTTTAGGGAAGCACCACTAGTCAGGTCTTTTTAAAGGGGGGGGGGGGGTGATTATGATTTAACTTTTCTAGCTTCATTTTGTGTGTATTGTTGCTGTTTGAGCATAAACAAAATCTGGAAAGTTACAATGCTCAAAGTTCAAACCAAAGGAATATATTTGCTTTTAAAGAAATCGTTTTATAAGGACTACGGAGCCCCCCCAGTCACCTCAAGATAGTAACTGGGAACACACAGTCTATGTTGAGAAGAGGAAGAGTTGTTGTATAGAGAAAATTTGCATGTCACTCTGTAGGCATATCTTACAATAGACAACACGAGATGTTATAGATTATCATGACAGAAAATGCTAATCAAAGACTTTAGACTTTTAACTGCACAGTCCACATCAGCAACATAAATCCATCAACTTACCATTCAGAAACGTCCTGTTGCATTCTACATGTTGTCACTTCTTCCTTTGTCTCTCCATCACTGTCCGACTCCAGTTTAAACATAAAAGGCAGAACAGTTTCTTATTTTAGTGCTTGTCGAGGAAATCCGAGCTGCTAACAACACACACTCTTGAAGCTCCGCCCTCTGTGCCGGGAGCAGCAGTTTATTTGCGTTTAAAGGGACACACACGAAACGATGCGTTTTCACTGACCCTCAAAAAGCACCTGGTCGAATTAAAACAATATATGAAGAGTTCAGATGCAAAAGCCTCTAAATGCCATTTGAAATTTTCTTCTAAAATGATCAGTTTTATCAAGCTTGTATATGTAAGTTCAGTAATTTCACTTAAATGGCAATGAAGATTACCTATTAATTGTAATTTAAGTGAAATTACTAAACTTAAATATACAAGCTTGATAAAAATGATCATTTTAGAAGAAAATTTCAAATGGCATATAGAGGCTTTTGCATCTGAACTCTTCATATACAACTTTTAGTCTGAGTAGCCTACAGATGTCTGATGACTTTACCAAAACAAATTATTTCTTAAAGGGATAGTTCACCCCAAAATTAGATTTCTTCATCATTTAGCCTATACGCATTCCAAACAAACCCATAAGACTTAATGATATTAGGCTATTATTATGAATGGTTATTATTCAGTGTTCTCTTGAGCCATTTTGTTCTTCCAATTACTACTTTTACTAAACTTTTTTGGCTAGAGGTGAACTGGCCCCTCGACCGTGCCTGATTTCTGTTTTTCTCCATTCTGTCACCTGATAGAGTTAATATCCAGATCCAACTCCTCCCACATTACGTAAACCTAAACATACCCATCTGCCCCTGATTCTTAACCCCACCCCTTAGATCTGGATCCAACTCCGCCCCCTGGATCTTGTGTACTGCACTGAAGTGCTTCTGTTATTTTCCTGTATCATTGTAAAGCTGCTTTGAAACAATCTGAATTGTACAAAGCGCTATATAAATAAAGATGACTGGACAAAACAAAGGGACACAAATTCAAATTAATAAGCCTACATGATTTTATTAAATACATTCAGAAGAAATACCTACCTAACTTTAACAGTTTGCCTCTATGTGTGCTGTACAATATTGTGAATATTGTATTTATTTAAGCAGCAGAGACCAATCAGAAGCTAGGACTGGAACAGATCGATAATAGGCTACTTTACCAAACAACAATTTTAAAAATTTTTTTTAGAAATAAAAAAAGCAGAAAGGTTGATGTTTGCGCATTTGACGTATATATATATACTATTCTTGCATGTTTACCTTAGACAACAACATTAGTTTACAAATTGATGCTGCTTATTAAGCACTGAACAGCTAATATTTTACAGCAAATAATGTTCTTCCTCAGTGATACACTGACTGATCAAAAGTAGTAAAAACTTCTGGTGACTTTGAAAGCATCAGAAGCGCCCACGTATGGCGTGATGATGGTGTTGTTATCCTTGGATTGTTTGTAATGTCCAAAGTGTTGAATCCGGTAGGTTCCTGTCTGCGCTGTGAGCGGGATGTGCCACTCCACTTTTGACTGACTCCGGCCGGCAATCCCTTTAATCCAGTGAAACCTAGTTACACACACATACACGAAATGAGTCAGAATCTTTACTATGGAGTGAATTATGTGCCATAATTAAACAAACAAATCCAGCATTTTGCAAACAAACTCGATCTGCTTTGCAAAGAAAAACTCGTCTCGCAGACAAACAGAAAGCAGTTTGCAAAAAACCAATGTCAATTTGACTGTTTAACAAATATTAAAAACTGAGCCTAGATAATATGCTATTTCACAAATAAATACAAACCATCCTACAAATTGCATGTAACCTTTGAACAAATACCAAATCTAGTGCATACAAATGCATATCAGTCTGTTACAATTGTGTTCGACAGGTTTGGCTCAACGCGCAAAATTCAGAAAAACATTGATAAATCATCATTCAATCAAAAAAACTTTGAAGCCATATTCTCAGTTCCAGTGACGTACTTGCGTTTTGCCATTGCATAGTATGTCAGTCAGTATAGATTGTATAGACTGTCTAATCTACAATTCGTTTAGGATCTTATATGGATTTCGGTTTGAGGAATGAACTGGCTATATAATGTGATAAGACCTTGACTCAGCGTTTGCCTTATCGGGGGACAGAGTTTGGTCAGCTTTAAGATGTCTTCATTAACACAAGCTCAAAGTAAAAGTATAAACGAATCAATGTGATATAAACATTAGAGAACATTTAATAAAAAAAACGTGAGCCTATACTGTATACAATGTGTAGACAGAACATTACCTTGTTTCCCATGATGCGTCCGTGTGTACTATTTCCCATGTGTTGGTGTCGTTGTGAAACCTCTCCACTGTGACCAATGTCTTATCTCTCTGATATCATAATCACCACAGATTAGGCATATCTCATGCATAAAACAGCTTGTTTTGCAAAAATAAAAATACTGTACAGATACTGCTACTAAAGTACTCACAATATCTCCAGAGTGTCTCGGGTTTCCACCAACAAATGTGACGGATGCTATTTCTCCCTGTAGAATAAAAAAAAAATCACATAAATCTTCTTAACTGTTGCAAGCTTAGCTTTCACTAGTTCACTCATTTCGATAAAATCTTAGTTCAGCAAAATTGTGCTGGCAAAAATGTCCACTGTCAATAGCGTAGTGATGTTTGATTCACTGCCGACACAGAAATTACTTTCAAAACTAGCAGATTTCTGTTGGTCAACGAACGCAACGGATTCGCATGACCAACTTGAACATGCATAAGGGAACTTATTCCCCCTCATGGGAAACTCCCTGTTTCCTATTGAAATGACTGGATTTCGTCCACAAAATTCCATCGAGCAATGGTATATGTGATCACAATTATTAACCTACCGCTCTATAGACAGGGTTAACCTGCTCCAAGACGTCACCAAAGGTGGTGTTAGCTGGTGCTACATCTTCCACGGGGTCCTTCACTTGATTAAAAAGTGTGTCCTCATCAAAGAAAGGAGGTTCGGGACCCTTAGGCAATTCTCCTATTGTTCCCTGTGGAAGATTGGTTCATTCGTGAGATCAGACATAATTTCAGTTCATTAAAAAGTTACAAAATGACTGGAAGGCAATGAAAAATGGAATTACATGAGCAATAGCTTTGGCAAGTCCTCTGTAGCGCTGGATATAAGCCGAGAGAGTGTGAGGGCCAAAAATGGTGGATGCGCCCTCATATCGCTGGATCTGTGAGAGCAGAAGAAAACCATTTGAAAAGCCAGACCAAAAAACACATTTGTCTGTCATCTCATTTTGACATGATCTTGTAGCACCATGTTAATACCATGACTATTATGGTGGTCAACAATATATACCTGATATTCTTCGTATGTAGTGATGTAGTGGGTGTAGATGTTGCAGAGACCAGCAACAACCACCTCTGCATTAGTGAAAGACTCTTGCACCTCCAACTCCTATGAAAACCATGTGATACAGCAAAAAAAAAAAAAAAAAGGTTTTGTTAAAGAATCTACTTCAAATTCGGATTCATACATGGTGTGTCAACCTGTTGTGGCAGGTTTGATTCCATTAAATATTGAAGATATTGAAGATATGAAAAGGAGATTAATAAGATTGCTGTTTTATCTTTCTGTTGTTGAAAATGCAAATGAAATCACAGATTCATATTTTTGTGAAAATTGTGATAGGATGCATTAAATTGACAGTAAATACATGTATAATGTTAAAACATATTTATATTTTATGGAAATGCTGTTCATTAAACTTTCTATTCATCAAATAATCCTCAAAAACATGTCATGCATTTTTGTCATGCTTTTTTAAACATGGATAATAACTGGGCAGAAAATCAATATAGAATGATTTCTGAAGGGTCATGTGACATGTGAACTGGAGTAATGCTGGTGAACATTCAGATTTTCAATTGCAGGAATACATTTCACAATGTCTTTTTTTTTAATTTATTTTTTTTGAATCATACAAATGCAGCCTTGTTGAGCATAAGAGACCTCTTTCAAAAATATTTTTTTTTAAAAATCATAATCATTCCAAACTGAGTGACTGAGTGTACA